AGGAGGAACACAGGAGGAACGCAGGAGGAACACAGGAGGAACGCAGGTGGAACACAGGAGGAATACAGGGGGAACGCAGGTGGAACACAGGAAGAACACAGGAGGAACACAGGTGGAACGCAGGAGGAACACAGGAGGAACACAGGTGGAACGCAGGAGGAACACAGGAGGAACACAGCTGCGCTGCCTCTGAGTGTTTTAGTTGAAAACTAAAGTTTGTGAGAGACACAAACAGAATTCTGAAGGTCCAAACGTCTCGGTCTGTGCAGAAGAACTCACGGAACGTTCTTCAAATCTTCGGTTTTATGAACTCTTGAGAGAACTTCATTGTCAACGAGCTCCACTTATGAAGGAACTTCTTCCTGTTTGATTCTTTCTTGTTGATTTCAATTTGTTGTCGTTTAAGTTTGATCTTTTTTATGTCTGTTCTACAGCTGCTGTTGTCCTGAGCAGCTTTCACTCAAAAGGTTAATGTTAATAATAATTAATCAATAATATTTATAGAACTAAAGTGTTCGTCTGGTTTGTTGTTTGTCACGTTGAAAATCATTGAAGCTCTTTAGGTTTGTGAACAACTGACTTCACAAGAACAAATTTAGTTGTTGTTTTGTAACAACACAAGTTTTTCCCTTGTTTGTCCAGAATGCAACTCATCTTCATAAAGTCTGCGTCTCAAATGAATCACTCGCTCTCGCTCAAGGCGGACGACTTTTCCTCTCCCTCTCCTGTTCTCCTCTTCCTCCTGCTTCTTTGCTCTGTGTGTGTCGGAGCTCCTGGTGCACGTCTTCTGAACAACACTCTTATGGATCTGGTGAGCTGGACTCTCAACACAGTCGACAAAATCTTTTCAACAAAACGACAGGGTCCTGGAGAGCCCTCATGTCCCGCTGAGCCCTACGCTGCAGGATACATCATGGACCCGTGCGTTGTGGGAGCCGATGCCTTCCAGTTCTGTCCCGGGACGTTTATATAATTGGATTCATGATACTAGGGGTGCACAGACTGCAGTTTTCTGGTTGATCACCGATTTCTAAAAAGTCTGACCTGCCGATTCCGATTTTGGCCGATACCGATTTTGTTTTATAAGCAACACTGTCAAGTGTTATAGAAGATCACAATGCGCCTTCAATTTTCCAATATTAATTTTGTTGAAAAAACATACTCTTGAACAATATCCTAGAACAGAGGTCTGCAACCTTTATGATCAAAAGAGCCATTTTTATGCCTTCGTTCACTAATTAAATGTGTTCAGAGCCGCAACAACCTGCAACAACTGTGATTATCAAGTGGTGGCCCAAGAGCCACTTTAGGTTTGTTGGAGGAGACTTTTGTGGCCAGTAAGTCGTAGGACATTATAAAGCTCAAAATGTGTATTGATTTTTAACATTTATTGATATTTTTCAATTTAAAACAAATGAAAAGATCAGATTCTTGTGTGGGTAGGGGGTTAAATTTTTAAATAAAAAAAAAAAGAACTACCTATGTGATTTTTTTAATTGTGGAAAAAATAATTAAGTATAAAAATAAAGTAAAAAGTTAGAGAGTATTCACAAAAGAAATGACAGGAAAACAGCTCAAACTAGTTTAGGGATGCACAATATTATCGGCCTGAGATCAGTATGGGCCGATATTAGAGATCAATATCGGCCAAACAATCAAAATAACTCACCGATATTAAAGGCGCTGTTTTTGTACAACCCAATGACAAGGACGTCTGCAGCGGCAGCACAACGTGATGACGTCACACGCATCTACGTGATCTCACAGCGGAGAGGAAGATTCAAAATGTTGGCGGTGTGTAAGTTTTTTCTGTTGAGGATGTCGGATTCCGAAAATTTTTGGACTACGTTGAGCCTCGCTACATCGTCCCCAGTTCAAGATATTTGTCCGACGTGGCCTGACCGGAGTTACAAGCCGTCATTTCCGACGTCATTGAGAAGCTAACAGCCGATAGCACGACTTGTTGCGTGAGTTTTACCACAAACATTTGGACGTCGTGTTAGCCTCGTTAGCATGATTAGTGTTACGGCACAATGGATAGACAAAAACTTTGAACTTAAAACATCTGTCCTTCATGCACAGGAGTGCAGAGGATCCCACACTGCAGCTATAGGAACCTGGAACAAGCCTCCACAAGTGAGACAGCGTCGCAGGTGACTAATGCTAATAAATAACATTTAACACTTTTCATTTAATATAAGTTAAAGTGCTTTGCATATCTTATGGCTGTTACTGAATATATGTCACCAGCTCTTACAGCTGTTGCACTATTATTGTAGCAAATAAGCCTAAATAAGAGGGCTATGTTCCGACAAAGGAACGTATATAAAAAATATTGGTATCAGTTATCGGCCAAATGAGTTTTAATATATCGGCATATCGGATATTGGCCAAAAATCCAATATTGTGCATCCCTAGTTCTTTTTTGTTGTTTGTATAACAACCAATAAAATTCAGTTTTGTGTTAGTTTTGTTCAAAGCTTGAAAGAGCCGCAGCAGAGGGACCAAAGAGCCGCATGTGGCTCCAGAGCCGCAACTTGCAGACCCTTGTCCTAGAACAATACAAACTTGTTTTAACTGGCCACGAGGTAGTGCTCTGAAATATAAATGGAGTTCAGACAATTGTTGTTAAAACAAAACAAAACAAAAAAATCGGTAAAATTGGTTTCTCATGCAAGTATCGGCCGTTTTCCGATAATTAAGGAAATCGGGGCGGATAAATCGGACGGCCGTTATCGGCTTTTGAAGAAGACATCGGCAGCAGGTTCAGCCATGACAAAACTGCCAAGTACTACGAGTACTCAAAATCAGCTGATTTATGAGCTAAACCGTAAGGTGGAAGCGATCTGCGTGAATCGCAGACCACCTGCGGCTTCTAGGACTCACCAGCATGTTGGAGACGACCTTGAACGAGGCTCATAGCACAGATCAGTGAAATGCCCACAAATCTGGCCATTTTGGATCTTGAAAGTACCAGCAGGACTCAAGGCTGACAAGAAAAATCAGGCTGCCCGAAGACAATCAACAATTGTGACTTATCTGAATCTGACTCCCCCTGTTTGGTCTCGAAAGCAGGCCGACTTATCAAACTAAAAGCTTAGTCTAAAACAAAACGAAATATGGAACAATAAGATCTGTAATATAAGATGGAGCTAGGTTGTTGAGAGCTTTGTAGGTTAGAAGTAAGATTTTGAATTATATTCTGGATTTGACAGGGAGCCAATGGAGAAGCTAAAACTGGAGAGATATGATCTCTCCGTCTGGCAGCAGCATTTTGGATCAACTGAAGACGTTTTAAAGAAGTATTTGGACACCCAGATAATAAACCGTTGCAATAGTTCAGTCTAGACGTGACAAATGCACGGACCAGTTTTTCTGCATCATTTTTAGATGTTTCTAATTTTAGTGATATTACGCAGGTGGTTCTAGTAACATTTTTAATGTGAGGAATAAAAGACATGTCCTGATGAAAAATAACTTTTAGTTAAATGTTTTAATTTGTGTTTATCAGCTGTTTTTATTTTAAGCCTGTATCCGTCTTTCTGTAAAGCACTTTGTGATTTTATCGATGACAGGTAAATTAATAAACTTTACTTCTACAAACTGCAAGAAAATCAAAATTTTAATTAAAACATCCAAACGTGTATTAGAAACCTAAATATGTTCTCAAAGGAATTATTTGCCACAAATGAGTGAAGTCTGGGCGACAAATTTAAGTTTTAAAAGTGAAGAATAATTAATTTGTCCAACAAAACCTGCAGGTGATAAAGTCAGGGACGTTTCAACAAACTGTTTTATTTTAGGAAAAAAAGGCACTTTTATTTTCCAACTTCAGATTTATTTTCAAAAATACAAAAACAAGGAAAATAGGTTTATGTACACAAACATTATTAAAATAGAATATGTATTGTACAAAAGAAATGTACAGCTTTCTGTGAAGCGAAGCCGAGTCCTATCTGCTCCGTTTGTCCTTGACGGTGTAGTGGAGAACTAACGGCTGAGCCTGGAGCGACAAAAACATTTAGACTTTATTCAGTGAGGACGGTTTTAAAACGTAACACACACGTTTATATCCAGCAAACTTTCTGCTACATCCATCTGTGAACACTGCACTCAGCTCAAAATAATGTTAATAAATACGTCAATTAATGCAGTAACTTCATTTAACCGTTCTACGATACGTCTTTAGTGAAGATTGTAAATGTTGTTCCAGCTCATTTGCAGTTTAAAAACGTGGAGTACATGTTTTTAGTTGGTGCTGCAGCAGATAATACTCGAACTGTACCTTTCCAAACCAGTGTGAGAGCCATAACCGCTTCATCGTCATGTGATCGGGCAGGGACTCGTTATTAAACAACATCTGCACCTACGGGGAGAGCACACGGACACAACAGGCCATCAGGAGGACAGGAAGTTGAGGTTCTTTCTGTCGGGGGGGTTTTGGTCAAGATTTAAGGATGTTTTTTTAACTGCTGTGTGCCCATGAACCATGTGTTTGAGTTAGCAGAGTTCTTTTCTCAGAGCGCTGAACGAGGAGCTGATTTGATCCTGCATGTGCAGCTGGGTGGCCGAGGACATCAATCTGCTGCCTGTGAGCCAAGAGCTGATAAGTTTAGAAATACAAGTACTTCGTTACTGTACTTAAGTACATTTTTCATGTATCTGTACTTTACGAAGAGTTAAACGTGGGTACTTTCTACTTTTACTCCACTACATTTTACATTAAGTATCTGTACTTTCTACTACACTACATTTCTATAACGTGTTGCGTTACAAGTTACAGTGTTTTTGATTTGTTTGATTGAAAGTAACCAGTGGTGAGAGGGGAGTTGGTAATACATTCAGCAAGTACTTTTACTTTTAACACCAAGTATTTTTAAAAGCAAGTACTTATTGTGGTACTTCTACTTTTACTACGGTACATTTTTGTCTGTTTCTTTGTACTTTTACTTAAGTACAGTGTTTGAGTACTTTTTCCACCACTGATTGTTTGTGGGTTTTGCGGGGGGGGGGGCTCAGCCACAAGCTAATGCTTTTTGGGGGCCATGGGATGGAAAAGTTTGGGGACCCCCTGGTGTAAAGTACTGAAGTTAATCCTGATTCATGCTCAGTAATCCAGGTAGAAAATCCACCAAAGTGAAGTCAGGTCCTCTGGACAGTTTCTTTGTGTTGAAACATTTCAACTTTCATCCAAAGGACTTCATCAGTCCGAGGAGCCGCGACACACTCAGTCTTACAAACAGCACCTGCACATAGTGGGCCAACCAGTTTGATGGTGCTCAGATGGTTTCTGGAGTCCGCCCTCTCCCCCGTCGACACGTTTGAGGCGGTCATGTCCAAAGTGGTTCAAAATATCAAAGTTCTCAATAATCCAGGTAAACACTTCGCAACAAGGTGCTCTTTATAAGACCGAGTTTGTTGCGGCTCCTCGGACTGACGAAGTCTTTTAGATGAAAGATGAAATGTTCCAACACAAATAAACCGTCCAGAGGACCGGACTTCACTTTGTTGGATAAAAGTTAATCGGCACAATAAGTCTCACATCGATGGTCCAAGTTCAAATTGAGTAACTGGAAACCAACGCGTTTGTTCGACTACAGAAAGAGCTGAAGTCACTGAAAACATGCGAACGGTCCGTTTGGAAGTCTGAGAGAAACTGTTGCACTTTATGTGCAGCTGTGTCTTTATGGAGCTCCACCGCCTCACTCCATCCACAATATTTAGAGTTTTTTACTTCATCTTTCTCTTTTTTGTGTTCAGCTCAGAGTCACTCGTTTCTATTCAAACAAGTTCTCCAAGATTCTGCACCTGTCCGATTCCACCTGGCTGGTTTACCTAGAATACAGCCAGCCTAATCAATCATGTGACAAGAGCTTTGTTGCCGTTCAGCGCAGACCTGCTTTTCACACCTGAACATCAATACAGCTGAATTCAACTTTGTCTTTCACAACGAGTAACTTAAGCTACTGAAGCTAAGCGTTAGCATAAGGTGTCGTGTAATGAAGAGATGCTACGGGCTCACCTGGTGTTTCTCCACATTTAATCTGTGACAAAGCACTTTCCGTAGGTGTCTCACCTCCGCCCGCACAGAACAACGTACGAACTTCTGCTGCAGAAACAGAACACAGAAGAGGAGTGGACACATTCAGCACGGCAAGTCGTTCAAATCACGCACGAGCAGCTGCAGGTTCGGACTTCTAACCCCCGCTGAGCTCTCAGTGGAAACGCTGGTTTATATTCCGTTTATTTCTCAGCATGTCACCGCACCATGGAGGAACTGGAACGCGCGGGTCTACGTGCTCTGCTGCTGGTGTTACCGTGTTAGAGACGTCCCCTTGGTTTGACCTTTAAAACGAGACGCACACGCCGACAGCTGGCCTCAAGTGTTACATAAATATACTTTAATGTTTTTGATGCACATCCAGATTCATAAAGAGCAACTCTGAGTTACAACTGGGATGAACGCTGGAGTAACTACAGAACGGGAGCAGCCGTCCCCTGCTCCGGTCAGATTTACGGTGAAGAAGGAGCGAGCTCGCTGCTGCAAGTTTCACGCTCCCCGCTGACGTATTAAACGCCGAACGCCGCACAGCTAAACTGGCTGGTTAAAGCTCACGCCTGCAGAACGGGAGCGCAGTAATTCTTTTAACGCATGGGCAGAAATCTTTTCCACTAAATTTACACCTCAGTAAAAACAACAATGAATTTGACTCGACGAGCAGGGAGAGGACGTGCAGCAACGATGAAGAGTGGAATTTAAAGCAGGGTAGTGCACGGACACAGCTTGTGTTGGTAAACTGAGCCCACATTACTCTCAAGAGTGCAGTTTGTTTTTATACATTCATGAGTTTTCATCAGAAGCTAATCCAGTTTAGAAGGTTATAAAGAGGTTAGGGAGAAAACCAACTGCAAAAAAAGGACAAGAATGGAACAAATAAAGCTGCAGATTCCAAGGAAAAGTTGTAAAACGAGACAAACCATAAAGAACATTTTTAATTTTGCACAGGCATCAAACAGGACGGGAGTGAAAGACGATGAAAGAAGACTTTGACAAGTGGCTGACTCTCTTCCCTGTCAATCACTCTGAGATCTGAGAGCGTCCAGGCTGGAAGCATCCTTTAAATTCTTTAAAACCAAATCAGGACTGAAAAGACGATCAAAAGAAAACGCAGGGTCCAGTTTGGTCTAACACGGTGACGGAGACAGCTGAGAAGCATCGGTCAGTCCACCAGTTGTGACACAATGATGCCGACGACCACCCCAGGCTGCTGCTCATCTGGAGATGGATCTACCTACATTTAAAACCTGGTGGGGTACAGGACTGTTTCCCCTTTCTAAATATGTAAAAACATACAATTAAATGAGAAGTTTTATGAGCATCCCTTTGTAAACTGTACAGCACAGTTGAAACAAGGGTGCCCTCTGCTGGAAGAACACAGTCACTGCAGGGACAACGGCTGAAGGTTTCTCCCTGAGCTACAAATGTTGGGGATGAACAAAAACACATTGAAAATTTATGAGAATGTCATAAATCTAAATAATAAAAAAAAAAAAGTGAATTCTCAGCTTCAGTCTCACTGAACTCCGAGTTTGTTCACAAGTTCAAACGAGACTTTCAGCAGCCTCGTTTTAAAATTACAGCCCGTTTTTTGCGTGCACATTCTGCACAAGTGCACTCATGGCTGTGCACATTATTTGCTGTCCACCATGATCCACTTTAAACCACACATTGAAGATATAATCTGCCAGGGTGCCCTTTAGAAATGAAGCTAGGCAACACGTATGATTTTAGATTAAATAAAGTTTCAGTTTGTGAAAAATCGTTTTGAAACACCAGAACAACGTCACCAAGCACACAGACGTCACTACAACACTTCTCAGGTAGTAAAAACTTACCTGCAGAGCCAGTTTTGTTTTATCTTTCCCTACAAGCGACGAACTGTAAAGACAAACCAGATTAGACCGGCATGAAAACAACAACACACTGTTGACGTTAAAACAAATACTAATAAAGTCTTATTCAAATGTTCATAAATTCAAAATACAGGCAAATGAATGAAACGCAAACTGCGCAGCGTACCTGAGTCTTTCTAAACACAGCGAAACCTGCTCATCGTATCTGTAGAAGTGAGCTTTAGAGTGGTCGAAACTTGTGAACGGTAAGCCCGTACCATCAGACACATCTGAAGAGATTAAAATCCAAGGATTACCCTCAGATATGCATTTATTACAGGTTGTGCTAAGGTGGCGTGATTGAGCTACTGGCAGTCATAATAAAGTTTTTTATTATAAATTAAAAAAAAAACAGTTAAATCCTGTGAAATTTGATGGTTAACCTGAAAATCTGAAAAAGCCGAAAAAAAAACCAGATCTACAATTAAATTTTAGACAGAACAGTTAACTGTACCAATTATCAGTGACATACATGCAGGTTTAGTTTTCTCAGTGGAAACTTGTATTTCTTTGTAACAGATAAAACTAAAAACAACTTGTAAACCACGAGATGCAGAAATGATCGTGAGATGAAGACTTACCATCTCCAGCTGGTTGGAGGACTCTCTCTAACCCTCTTGACTGATAAAAATCTTTAATTCTTTTATCTTCACCTGTTAATAAAAAACATACAAGTGATGCACAAACCATACATCCAACCAACACACACACACTCATGCTGTTAGAGGGTTTTCTCCTTTTGAGAAGTGTAGCAGGAACAAAGCCTTCACGATATATTAATATAGATGATGAGCATAGAAAAGTGCCAGGAAGCTCAGAACTTACTTTCTTGAAGACCAGGCACTAGTTTGTACACGATGTCCTGCATCACTCGATCCAGTTTGAGGTTGAGTAAGGGCTGAGTTTCATGGATCTTGATGTTGCACATGGGACAGTATTTGCTGGTTTGCAGGTATTTCACGATGCAGCTTTTACAGACTGCAAAGACAGAGACTTTACATTAGCCCAACGATGGCATGCACGCTGACAAAATGAGCAAAAGACGTTCGTATTTACAGACTTACACGTGTGCAAACACTCTGTAATAGTTGTTGCATCTATAAAGTAGCCTGCGCAGAGGTAGCAGACGATGTGTTCGTTCAGGTCCTTGATCTTCAGCTTCACTTCCTCCTGTTAAATAAAGAAGAAGACATTTTAAAGCTCAAAGACTTCAACCTAGCCTTAGGTCAACTAAAATAGATTTGATGGAATTTGTAAACGGGAGGATTTTATGATCATGTAAAAAGTGTTTGTCAGTAGTTACACGAGTTTTTAGGACAAAATCTGCCTTAAGATGTTTGTCCAAGTTGTTTGGTCTTTACAAACAGTTTTTAACGGCAGCAGCTCAACCCGAGGGACGAAAGACCACAAACTGCTCAAAGAACAGAAGCAGTCCGTTGTTCTTTGTTTATTAAAAATAATGAAACCGTAAGAATCAATTTGTTAATACTAGATGTGAGTGGAGGAGTTCTCCGAGCCATCTAGAACGTGGAGCACCTAAAAGCTGCTCAGACGAGCTACGACGTCTTGAATAAAGCAGATAAGAGCAGACAAAACCTGTGATAAAAATAAAGCTGGGTCAGTATTTTATCTAATATTTAGTTGATTAAAAAAAAACGAGTTTAGTGTAGAAAACTCACGTCACAGCTTCAAGTCGGCATGGTTCCTTACACATTTCTCAGACCATCACATTTTCTATTTAAGGTTTAATTCAAGTCAAGAAAAGGAGTTTAGGGCAAAACAAGAGTTTTCCGTTTCCTTTTTACTACCGAGCAGCCCCCATAGGGAGCACCAGCCAGTGAAGCTCTGGTTCTGGTCCCAAGCCCGGGTCGATGGCGAGGGTTGTGTCAGGAAGGGCATCCGACGTAAAACACTTTGGCCAAAACTAAAATGCGAGTTCATCAAAGCGACACCGTCCCGGATCGGTCGAGGCCCGGGTTAACAACGGCCGCTACTGGTGCTGCCGACAAACGGTGCCGGCGGAAACTGCTACAAGTCGAAGAGCACGAGGAGGGAAACATGTCGGAGGAGAGGAGAGTGAAGTATGTAGGACTGAGGGTTGCATCTCTAATGTGGGGACAGGCACAGGTAGAGCTGGATGATACAGTGCATCACAAAAGTGAGTACACCCCTCACGTTCCTGCAGATATTCAAGTTGATCTTTTCATGGGACAACACTGACACAATGCAAAGTGTTCTGTGTGCAGCTTATATAAACTGTGTACATTTATTCTTCCCTCAAAATAACTCAATATACAGCCATTAATGTCTAAACCACCGGCAAGAAAAGTGAGCACACGTCTCAGTGAAAGTTCCTGAAGTGTCAATATTTTGTGAGGCCACCATTATTTACCAGAACTGCCTGAACTCTCCTGGGCATGGAGTTTACCAGAGCTTCACTGGTTGCCACTGGAATGCTTTCCCACTCCTCCATGACGACATCACGGAGCTGGTGGATACTCCAGACTTGGCGCTCCTCCACCTTCTGCTTGAGGATGCCCCAAACATGTTCTCCTGGGTTTAGGTCTGGAGACGTGTTTGTCCAGTCCATCACCTTTACCCTCAGCCTCTTCAGCACTCCCGCAGCGGTCTTTCAAAGATGGATGTGACGCTGAGCACGTGCGCTCAGCTTCTCTGGACGACCAACGCGAGGTCTGTTCTGAGTGGACCCACTGCTGGATGATCTTGGCCACTGTGCTGCAGCTCAGCTTCAGGGTGTTGGAAATCCTCTTGTAGCCTTGACCATCTTCATGTAGCGCAACAGTTCGTCTTTTAAGATCCCCAGAGAGTTCTTTGTCATGAGGAGCCATGTTGGAACTTTCAGTGACCAGTATGAGAGCTGTACTACAAAACTGAACACACCTGTTCTCTACGCACACCTGACACCTAGTAACGCCAACGAGTCACATGACATTTTGGAGGGAAAATGACGAGGAGTGCTTAACTTGGACATTTAGGGGTGTAGTCTCTTTTGGTGCTGGTGGTTTAGACCTTAATGGCTGTATATTGAGTTATTTTGAGGAAAGAATAAATTTACACTGTTATATGAGCTGCACACAGACCAGAATACTTTTCATTGTGTCAAAGTGTCACTTTGTCAGTGTTGTCCCATGAAAAGATGAACTTAAATATCAGCAGGAATGTGAGGGGTGTACTCACTTTTGTGATACACTGGATGCAGTTAGATGGAGTGAGGACAGAGGACGAGTCACTGTGGAGACCCCTGGAGATGGAAAAGCTGAAAGAAGACGAAGACTGAGCAGACCCCAGGACAGCCGTCTCTTCCTGATCTGTTCCCAACCACGCCTCAGCACCAGAACTGTTTGAAGTGGACCCAGAGCAAATGAAACAGTCTCGCATGTTTTCTTGTCCTGATTTAAGTTTTAATGATCAGAGCTTCAAGTCAATTAAATGATAAATGGACTTTACTTATACAGCGCCTTTCTGTCTTATTTCAAGATACTCAAAGCGCTTTACACCAATCTGTGCCTCATTCATACAGCTCTATACTAGATCTCTACAAAGATAATTGAACAAATCATTCTAAAGAGACTAATCAGAGCTTTATCACATTCATACACCGATGGGACACACATCAGAGGCTGTGAGGGGTTCAGTGTCTTGCCCAAGGACACTTCAGCATGTGACTGCTGGTGGATTTGAACCCCCAACTCTCACAATGGAGGATGACTGCTCTAACCACTCAGCCACAATAAAAAAAAAACAGGTTCTGGCAGCTGCTGGGGAAGAAATGGATGTAGTTGCAGACACATCTTGATAAAAGTTTGTTTTTTGACCAGGAAAACGCTCATTTTTGCAGGATTACTAAATAAATACCTGCATTTTCTCCCTCCGTCCAGAGTCCAGTAAGACACGTGACTCTCATCCTTTTCTTTAAGAGAGAACTTTGGTTAAAACGTATAAAACTTAAATAATCAGCGCTCCCGCTCTTAAGTCCAGCACAAGTTTAAAGAGAGATAAACGTGAAAGAAGGTGGACATTTTGACAAAGAAACAGAAACCTGTCCGGAACTGGTGAACTACCACAATACTGTAAGTAAGCAGCGCGCGCTGCTCGGAACGAACACGAACCAACCAGAACTCGGAGCGGACCCGGGACTTCATTACACGCCGACCCGAGAGAGGAGCACCGGAGCGCCGCAGCTCGCTCACTCACATGGCGCCCAAATCACGAGGAGCGTGTCGGAGGGTGCGTGTTGGACACGAACATTAGCCGGGAGCTTCACGCCGCTCCGGAGAACAACACGGTGCGACCCCGCTGCTGTGCGCATGCGCAAACATCGCTCGCTGTCTGTCACCATCAGCGCGGCGGAGACAACCATCTGTCGGTAATTCGCGAGATAAACTCCCGTCCGGTGGACGTTCGCTCCCGGTTCGGCCTCCTCCGTCACGGACGAGCAGTAGGAAGTCCGTCACTCACCTCATTCCTCAGCGGGTCCAGCTTGTAAACGGACTGGAGCTGATTTCGTAGTCGCATCGCTATAGCCATCGGACCTTGCTCCGCCATCTTTGGAAATTATGCTCATTTCCGGGTAAACCGGAAGTGCCCTTCTCTGCGAATCCAAGAGCGTCAACTAGAAAATAAGAGCATCACTTATGCTTTTATTTTTTTCCCACTGTGTTTTTATTCCGTTCACATGTATATAAATAAATGATCTCATAAACGATACTTGTTTTATTTTATATGTGTATGAAAGGCTCCGCATACTTAGGTTATAAATTACTTTTTTTGTCGTTTTCTGTTTTATTTGGTTCAATGAACACCTGCCCTATCCATCCATCCATCCATCCATCCATCCAATAATATCTTTACCCGCTTCCAGCCCAATATTTTAGTATTTGGATTGATTCAACTTCTCAAAAGATCCAAACTCGACATCAAAAGTTGCCTATAAACTAAACCACCTTTTTGTTGAAGTTCAGTAAAATGAAAGCTTCCTATACTGAAAACAAATTCCACAACAGTTATTTGAAACTGGTGCCATTATCAGGTGGATTCTAAAATGGTATTTATCTTTAAAATTACAACTTTTGCACTTTGAAACATATAGTTAAACAAGTTGACACTGTAAAGACTTGCACAGACACTGTTATGATGTAAGAAGACCATAAAATTGTTTTGTTTTTCCAACACAAACATTTGCCATGTCTTCTTATTTAGCTGTTTCCTCTTCAGGGTTCTCCACAGTGAGCCTTCCTCCTCCATGTTCACTGTGTCCTCTGCTCTGTTGTCACTCCAACTACCTCCATGTCCTCTCTAACTGCATCTATACAGGAACATCTACAAAGTAAAAAAAAATCAGAATATAGTGAAAAGGTTCAGTTTTTGTGTCGTTTCAGAAAGTAAAATTCATATTTTACAGTTTCATTAGACTGAGTGAAATACTTCAAGTCTTTATTTCTTGTAATTTTAATAACTGATAATCTCACAGTGACTGCTAGATATGGGCAGTGACCCCTGCGACCTGGAAAGGAAGAAGCGGATAAAGATGATGGATGGATGGATGAATGGATGGATGGATGGATAAGTCTCACTTTCTGAAGTGACTGACAATCAAACTGAACTTTTACACGTTATTTTTTAGATGCACCTGTCTATCTCTTCTTTGTCTTTTTCCTGTCCGCTGCGTGAATTGTTTGCCACCTTAAAAATGTAAATTTACTTAATTTCACCAAAAAGAAATGAAAAATTACTGAAAGCTTCATTATTCTCAGGTCTTCAAATTAAAATATCCATTAAAAAGTTGGTATAAACCTGTGGCCACAAATAATTAGTTTAACATATCCAAGGTAATCAAAAGCTTCAAACATTGCTAAAAAGATTAAAACAGACTAATTTTTCTTCAAAAAGATTTTTCTGTGCAAAATTCACTTAAATCTATCAAGGTTATTGGGGTTATTATTTGATTTTGATTTGGTTATTGTTTTGATTGTTTAGATTGTTTTGACCGAACAGACTGGCAGGTTTTCAGAGAAGCTGCTGAAAATGGAGAATCGCTTGATCTTGACCAATACACATCCTCAGTTCTGGGTTACATTAGTACATGTACTGACACCGTCTCCACTATCAGAAATGTTAAAAGCTACCCAAACAGAAAACCTTGGCTGAATGCAGAGGTGCGTACCCTGCTGGAAGCCAGGAACACTACCTTCAGGTCTGGAAACTCAGAGGAGCTGAGTAGGACAAGAAAAGAGCTGGTTGCTGATATTAAGAAGGCCAAGGCCACATATGCAAAGAGAATCGAGGGTCAATTCATCTCACAAGACCCTCGGAGCATGTGGAGGGGCATTAAGTGCATAACAGATTATAAAGGAAGGAGTGAACAATGCCCCAAAGACCCATCTCTGCCTGATGCCCTCAACAAGTTCTATGCACGCTTTGAAGACCCGAACAGACCACCCAGCACCAGACTCACCTCGCCACCGGATGAAGAGCATCTCAGCGTGACCTCAGCAGAAGTACGGAGTACCTTCAGGAGGATTAATCTGCACAAAGCAACTGGCCCAGACAACATCCCCGGAAAAGTGTTGAAGGAATGTGCCAATCAGCTCTGTGAGGTGCTGGCAGACATCTTTAACACCTCACTTACCCTGGAGACAGTTCCCACCTGCCTGAAGACTGCCACCATCATCCCAGTCCCAAAAAGCTCTACAGTGACTGGTCTGAATGACTATCGGCCAGTGGCCCTCACCCCGATAGTCGCTAAATGCTTCGAAAAACTGGTCATGACTCACATCAAAACAACCATCAACATCAACGAGGACCCTCATCAGTACGCATACCGTGAGAACCGATCAACAGAGGATGCCATCTCCTCTGTGGTCCACACTGCACTCAACCACCTGGAGCAGAAAAACTCTTACGTCCGTATGCTCTTTGTGGACTTCACATCCGCCTTCAACACCATGATCCCCCAAACCCTGATGGACAAACTATCCACACTAGGACTAAGCCCCTCCATCTGCAACTGTGTACTAGACTTCTTAACAAACAGACCACAGTTAGTGAGGATCCACAACCTCTCCTCCTCCACCATAACCCTCAGCACTGGCTCTCCTCAGGGATGTGTGTTGAGTCCCCTCCTGTTTACTCTGCTCACGTATGATTGTGCAGCTACCCATCCAGGCTGTCACATTGTAAAGTTTGCAGATGATACAGCAGTGGTGGGATGCATCACAAACAATGAGTCCAGCTACAGGCAAGAGGTGGAACACCTGGAGAGCTGGTGCAGAGAGAATAACCTTCACATCAATGTGAAGAAGACAAAGGAGATGATTGTGGACTTCAGAAGGAACAAAAACACCTACACCCCCCTGAACATAAGAGGATCTGCGGTGGAAGTGGTCTCCAGCTACAAGTACTTGGGTGTACACATGAATGACAACCTCAGCTGGAGCAACAACACCACCAGCCTGATCAAGAAAGCTCATCAGAGACTCTACTTCCTCAGACGGCTGAGGCGAGCTGGTCTGGGAAGCTCAGTCCTCACCTCCTTCTACAGGTGTGCAGTGGAGAGCATCCTGTGCTCCAGCATCAATGTGTGGCATGGAGGCTGCACAGCTGCAGAAAGAAAAGCTTTGCAGAGAGTGGTGAAGGCTGCACAGAAATCTGTTGGAATCAGCCTCCCCACCATCACAGACATCTACACCTCCAGATGCAGGAAGAGGGCCACCTGCATCATGAAGGACCCCACCCACCCAGCACACACACTTTTTGCCCCACTCCCCTCAGGAAGGAGGTTAAGGAGCATTAAGTGTAGAACCACTAGACTGAGGAACAGCTTCTACCCTGAGGCTGTTAGACTCATGAATCTCTAACTAGAATAATCACTGTGAAAAACCATATCATGTTGCTGCTGATCTGTTTCATGTTGCTGCTGATCTGTTCCATGTTGCTGCTGATCTGTTTCAATGTTGATGTGTTCATGCGTGCACATCTGCTCACAGACTCATGTTCATGTTTGTGCTGATGTTCAAGGTTTTATGTTATGAGTGCTTAGTGTATATTTAGTTGATGTTTTTCTTAGTTCATATCTTAGATGTTATTACTGTTTTTCTTATACATTTTATTGTTGGATGTAACTGGGACCCTGTGTACATAATTTCGCTCCACCACATGTACCACATGAGGTGCGAATGACAATAAAGAAACTCTGACTCTGACTCTGATTTAGCACGTATCATGACGTCACAAAAAAATGCCAAAGTGTCTGCGGTCTGCTTTTGGGCCACTAGAGGGCGCCAAACACACACACTAAACATTTTATGCGGTAACGTTTTTCTGTAACATTACACTGTTAAATGCAGTTTATGCATTTAAGTTTAAATCAGTATTTAAATGTGCTCATATCAAATAAATTAATTTGTACACTGATGCTCATGGGATAAAATCTGAAGTTCACTTCAAAGTTTTGTTTCTGAAAAGCCATTTGTCTTGATTTCAGTTACCACTTCAGGATAATTGAACTCTTATGTCAAAAGCCTGAATCACTATTTTAAATGCACAAATAAATATCCATAATTTACATTAACAGTGGGTTTATGCACTATGTTACTGTTTGTGATTGTTGCTGCTGTTTTTTAGGAAACCAGTTCATGGTATGTGGAGATAACTGCATAAAAAGCATCTAAATTGGACTAGTTTTAGATCATAAAAAGTGTCTAAAAACTACCATACCTGTAAGAGTTTAAGAGGGGAGAAAAAGCAGATGACTGGGTGAACGCCACAAGACTCAACACTCAGAAATTTGCAGGTTTTGAAATCCGAGTTACATTACTGAGGCATCATGAAGGACAGGCAGAACTTGCAACAACATAAAATCTCATTAAGTCTTGTAAATTATGCCAAGCCCTTTGATGTGCATATTAATAATCTCTAATGAGCAATAAAGGGTCAAAAACCTGCAGATGAAGATGCTGATACAAGAAACTCTATCACTAATTTGTGACAAAAAAAAGCCCTAAATCTAAATGAGATTGCATTTTTATAAAATGCTGCAACCAAATAACCCTCCAGATTTGAAAATACCCAAACTCTGATTAACCAAACCCAAAGTAGGCTGCAGACTATCAGTTAAATTAGTTTGAAAACTTTATGTCACAAATTGAAACAACAAACGAACTGAGTTTAATGGGCTTTACATGTCTGATCTCTCTAACGACAACGCTTTCATCCAGAGAAGCACTTATGACTGAAGTGTTTGAACCCCCAGACCATTTTGGGGAGGGAAATGAAAGTGTGTTTGTCTCCCCTCCTTGAACAATGACCACCAAGTGTCTCTTGAGGAAAGACCTGAACCATCAGCTCAGTGATCAGCAGAGACCCAAAGTTAACCTGGCAGCTTCCAGACCTAAGAATGGTTAAAAATGTGTGAACATGGAGCAGAGAGCTGAAATGAAAACAAACATGTTTCTACACAGTCATCTCATGAATTAAGTTACTCAATTAATCAACTTTTTTTCTGTTGGGCTATTTTTATGGTACTTGCAGACTTAAACATTGCTGAG